GCCATATTACAAACAACTCAAAACAGAAGCTGTAAGCAAAATATGTTCAAAACAAATTACAGTTTAACAATAGAAACAAAATCCAAAGACATCAAATGGGTCACACATTAGAAAAATGACACAAATATTATTAGCAGGAAAAGAAAATATAGCAAAGAACTAATCAAAATTCAATACTATAATTGAATAAACAACAACTTACCATTACAAGAATATGATGGATATGACCTCAATACATACATCATATCAGGAGAATATAGCCTTTTAGTGGCTCCCAATAGTCTAATATGTATACCAGTACACAAAAGTCGCATCAGCACCAGAGACAGCACAGACAACAAATTACAATATAAAATCAGAATGTCCCCGGGCAGCCTCTACTTTATAATCACAGACAAATTTACAAGACTTCAATATACTCCACTTCCAAAGATACAAATGGATCAAACTCTGGCCCATATACAAACAATTAATAAATATATCAATATATCCTGCAGTATACTACAACAGCTTGCTACCATCAGATTCACTCTCAACTCCTATAAGCCTATTACCATATATACAGATGGCTCACTTGACAGACACAGAAACATGGGTTTTGCATGGTACACACTCAACTGTCCCAATGCAAATTTCAAAGAAAGAATCAAATTATTTCCTTCATCCACCAGAGTCAAACTGGCAGCCATAGCAACAGCCCTAATCACCATACCAGCAGGAAGCAATATAACAATATGCAGCGATAGCCAAGCAACAATTGCAACAATTAACAAAGCAACCACAGATCCAAAACACCTCAGAACACTACAAAACAGCAACATCATCAATACGATCGTATATATTATACAATCCCAAAAGATTAAAGTCTCATGGGTCAAAGTCAAAGCACACAATCACGACCCTAACAACAATCAAGCAGACTGGATGGCAAAGGAAGCCTGCCAAGAATCAAAAAACTATTTAGAATTTAAATTAATCAATTACCAACATTTTAAATGGATACCTTAATGGAATAAACAGACTCTGGATAATATAATAACCAGAACAATAAAAAACATTATCAGAATAAAATATGTCATCAACTGGAGAATGTTGAATCGAAATATTAACACTTTGACATAAAACACAACTAGTCAAATCGCATGACTACCAACACTCAAATTCAGACAGCCGTCAAAACTCACAATAAAAAATACTGATAATCAAGACCACAACATTAGAAGTTTTTATCTAAAACTGTAGAACTTGGAGTTTTCATTCAAAGACAAACTACATACATGATCCACTACAATATATATAGACAACATATGTTCAAGATATAACAAAGCCATAGAAACCAATACACACATTATGATTTGCGATAACAATTAAACAAATATAATCAATACAATCAAACAAATAGTTAATAAGGAAATAACAAGCAGAGCAACAGAAAAAACAGGATTACAATATACCAACAAGTTATCAAATATATATAGAGCTGGACAGAAGAGGTATTAAATTGTGTAATGAGAGGAGCACTAATTAATGGAATTATTGTGATTATTAAAACACATATAGTTTTAACAATACAAAAAGAAACTATACAAAGTATCCTCAACAGAATTTTGTAAAGTCTAAAAAAGAATTGGATACAGAGAAATGAGCAATTTATAAAATAGAAAAAAGAAAACAACATCACATAACAAAATAAACACAAATGGATAATCAACAAGAAAAAAGCAATACAACAAAAAACAAATATACCAGAAATTAATTTAATTATGAACTATACAACATATAACAGGATCAACTGAAATATACTTTATAATTTTAGAATTTCTTTTAATAGGGATTGGTAAAGCTTTGGTAAATTAATCAAAGATATATCAATAAATTTCTTTTGGCAATAAGCCATATGATAAGGGTAACCTTTAGTGAATTTAAAGAATAGATAAAGTTTTAAATTTTGTAATCTACAAATTTGTATATGCTCAAAACAATATTCAATAAACAAGGTGTAAGCTACCCATTAAATATATATATATATATATATATATATAATTTTAATTACTTAGTATTAGTATTAATAAATAATTATAATAGATTAAATTAACTTATAATTTATATAAAAATCTTTAATATAATAGCTTTAAATTCTTGTTTAATAAAAGTTTATATTTAATATCTATTTATAATTAAAAAATAAAAAAAAAATAAAAAAAACCTAAGATTTATAGTATAATAATTAATGTTTTATAAGTCTAGATTACAAATTCAAATTTAAATTCTTTAAAAAACTAATATAAAACCTTTAAGTAAAAGATAAACAAATAAAATTTGAATCTATTTATATAATTATAAATTAATTAATATTTTTAAATAAAATTATTGATTTATAAAAGTTATAATTTGATTAAATATCTAAAATTGAATAGAATTATTATTATTATTTTTTTTTTTTATAGATGAATGTGCAACGATGCAAATCTTTATTGATACGTGAGTAATCTACGAATTACATCAAGTGTCCTTTTACAATTATAAATTGCTTGTTGAATCGATTATGTAGTCTACAATTGTAAACCAACACTGCTTAATACTTTGACATATTAGCTTACCATCCATCTTATGGATCCAACATGTGAATTGTACACTCATGGTGCGGTATTTTAGATATCGGATATAGGGGGTGAATGCCTACCATTAGTTTAAACCACCTAACCTATAACCCGGTTTCTAAGAGCTATGTCTATCCCTCAGTGGTTGATCTTCGGATTTCCGGACACCACAATACTTTTCGTTTGGACCCTCAGAGAGGATACTTGCTCCTTGTCACCACCTGCGGCTTCGGTAGATCCGTACCACGAGACCCACTTCTTTTAAGCAAGCGCTGGATTGGGATAGCTCCAAACTAGAAAATCCTGGGGTTGACTTCGGCCTATTGGGTATGACATACATAGGGGGCCTGCACAACCTATATATGAAGAGACTTCTCGATGATTATCATGCACCAACCAGATGATCATTACGCCGTGACACCTTAACGGGAAATCACAATCTCAATGCCTTAATAGAATTATTTTTTATATTACTGTATTACTAATAAAATAATAATAATAAAGTAAATTTAAAACTAATAACATATTATTAATAATTAAAAAAATTATATTACTTTATAAAATAAATAAAAACTATTAATAAATTTATTAATTTTTTAATTATATGGCTTGATTATTGAAAGATTTAATAAAAGAAAAAATTTATAAACTATTTTAAAGAATTGAAAATCAAGATTTAAAATATTAAATTTGATAATTTGATAATTAAACTATTTTTAAAAAAAATTAAAAAATATATATATATTCTTTTTGAAAAAGTAATAATTATATATAATATTATATAATATAAATATATAAATACTTATATATAAGAATGGGTCCTTAAATTATTTAGTATATAAAATTTCACAGATTAATTATATCTTTTTTGAAGGGATATAATTATTTATTCATTATTTTAATAGGAACATAATTTAAAAAACATTTGAATCAAGTGGCCTAAATTATAAAAAACCTTTATAGGCAGTTTTTTTTTAATTTTATATTTAAAAAAATTTTTTTAATAATAAGAGATATTTGAATTATATTGTATCTTCACCTTTAATTTAGAAACCCATCTTTACTCATATACAATATAGTTAAATTTATTATAAATAAATAATATATATATAATATTTGTTAATATATATAGTTTACAGGATTTATTATGGATATATTAATAATTATAATATATGTTTGTTGAAATAAAAGACAATTATAAGTATATAAATTAATAAAAATTTAATTAAACTATTTTATATCAAATCAAATAAACAATTTTTTTTTATAATTTTAATCTAATATTCATTAATATTGTAATATATATAGATATAATAAACAATAAGAAATCAAATAAACTATAAAACAAGAAACAAAATTAATCTTCAAATATAATATTATACTGATATTTGTTATTATACAAAATAAAAATTAATATACAATTATAATAACAAAATAAAATAATAATTTATTATATATAGTATGTTGCAAAAAAAAAATAGAAATATTTTTTTATTGTAACTTAATAAAATTATTAAAAAAAAATAAAAAATTAAAATCTAATTGAATTAACATTTATAAAATAATTTTAATTAAAATTACTTTGTTAATTATTTTATATTTAATTTTATATTTTAATTTTATCAAAAATTTTATATTGTATTTTTTTACTTTTTATTTAATTTCTGTTTAAAAAAAAGTAATATATATTATTTTTATATAGTTTTTGCTTTTTGAATAAAAGATTTTAAAAAGTAAAATAAAGGAATAGATTGATAAATTTAAAAAAAATTTTAAGTAAATATAAATTTAATATAATAATTTTTTAATTAAAAGTTTTAATTAAATTTATATCTTTTAAAATATAAAATATAAAATATTTTTAAATAAATACTTATTTAATAATTGTAAAAATTTCAATTATGAAAAAATTTTTTATTTTTTTTGTAACATACTATATACAGTATATTGCTAAAATCTATAAATCCTTGATGCAATTGATGCAATTATTTGATATAATTAATTTAGTCCTTATTAAAACATATAAATAATTGAGTCATGATGCCAATATTACAAGCCATTATACAATACAGTATTTAACCAGTATATCATATCTTTATTATTTTTATTAAAAATTTTTTGAGAAATTCTTTGTTCAACATTGCCTTTACATTTTTTTCATATTAAACATAATGAACAATGAATTCTCAACAAATCTCTAACCGGTCTAATCAATTGATTATGAGATGCTAGAGAACAACCTAATTGGCGGGAAAAAAAAAATTCATTTATTTGACCGCATAACCCGTAGGAAGTCTAATCAAAAAACACTTGCACGTACCGCATTTTTACAACAGCAGTGTCTGTGCACCACCAAGAATCGCACACTGGACATTGAATATGGTGAGGACGTACTAGATTATGGCTAGCTCGCAAAATGAGTCTGATTTTAATACTACAAAGGTTCTTCCGGAATTAGTTAGAGTAACGGTAAGAAACAAACCAAAATAATAAATAAATAAATAAATAATACTCTGCATACAGTAGATACGGGACTTCCTTGACCATGCTCGTAAATAAAGAGTTTTCGGAAATGTTTTTCGTTTGTTTAGGTTGCACGGACCTGTAAGGTTCAAATGCCTTTTAATAAGATGGGCGAATCAAACCGATGTCTCTTTATAGAATCATTGCCGTTTTTCAAGATAGTATGGCAGTTGATTTTTCTAGTAATCGTCCAGAAAGGTGAAGATATTCGTTTGGGATCGAAATGATAATGTTTTTGTCAGTTTTTTTTACGCGATCTTCGGAAAGTTTTAAAAAGGGTCGTATTTTTCCTCTGATCAATCTAATCTTAAATTCAAACTATTTAAAAAGAAGACAGTTTATTAAATGACCTTATAAAGTTACCGTTCTTCTAGTGGAATCTACTTTCGGATTTCACATAATACAATTTATAATTGTCAGATAATTTATAAAAGCATCAGAGAATTAGAAGGTTTTCCGTAATCGTTCCTTTTATTTCAATATTATAATCCTCTCTGAACTATAATCATCATTCTTTTAATATTTTCATTAGTGTAAATGAAAGATAAATGTTTTTTAACAGATGCACCATTCAACAAGAATGTCTTAAAATCTTTTAAAAATTTTTTTTCGGACTCTTCAACCTCTCAGTCGATGATACATACAGAAAAC